AATCCTATTCCTAAGAGATCGATTCTAGGGTTTGCGCAGCGGATATAAAACAAAAATTTAATAAACCCTAGAACCATGCTTCTAATGAATCGTAGAAACGTTAGAACGCTTACCTCAATCGATCCGGGGCCTGTATCAATTGAAGAACTCGCTCGATCACGAAAGGGAGGAAGATTACCTCGCCCTCTACACGTATCCACACCTCGGGATGGATTCCAACGGTTGGAACTTGTCTGCTAGGATCCGAATCTGCTATTCGGTTTGGTGCTTCGAGAAAACGGGACTTCGATCACTTTTCAAACCTCTTGGACCTCACCAAAAGTCTGTAGAAAAGTTGTCAAGTCGGCTACCTCTTTTAGGGTTTTTAATCTTTTTATAAAGTGATTCAACCCTAATTTCGGTTTAATTTTGGAAAAACCTGAAGCCCGGAATGGACGGTCCAGAAATGCACGTGGACCGCCCGTCCAGTACATAGAACGGACGGTCTGCCATTAGTGGCCCGTCCGTTCCAGACCTTCTGGAACGGATAGTCTGTTCTGGACCGTCGGGTTTGGACCTGGTGGACCGTTCGTTCCGGACTTCCGGTCCGTCCGTTCCAGACCCTTCCGTCTTGGTTTTTTCCGTCGTTTTCTCGTGCGTTTTGTCCTTCCCTGCGTGTGTGACCCTGTAGGCTCATTCGATATAGCAGTATAATCCGAAATCTCTATTCCGGATATACAAGTCATAGGCGGTCTCTAGCAAGACACTATGACTACCTATTTCGAATAGAGTTTGTTCGTGATCTTACGAACGCCAGTGATGATTCCGGTTGATGATCCTTTTGTATCGCGATATCATATGTCAAACAAAAGGCATGGACAAGCCACCTTATCTTATTCGACTGCTTTCTCGTTCACTCACGACTGTCTGAAATAGACGACGTTCGTCTATAATGCGGCCACACATTTCTACAGTCTTGCTCACACGAGGAGCCCAGAGATATCTCTCTCTTTTACGAGAGGTACAAATCCCATCTTGACTATCTACAATCCAGCACATGATTCGTTTCGTACCTGATACACACCTTTATAGTCCTCCTGTTACGCAGGACGTTTGACGTATTCAATGCACGCAACTCCTCATGTTGGATTCCGTAGATATCTCAGGTCTTAGGATCCAATCATAGAACCGCCATATGAGATTCAAGTCATGACGCTAGTCCATGTGACAATCTCATGCGGGATCATTCCAGTATTCTGTTCTCCAACGAATACCTATGATAGTGATTGTATCCAATACCTATAATCATCTATATGATCATCAATCACACATCATACTAGTCTTGTTATATCATTATTCCCACAATGATACACGACTAGGGAGTTTAGTATTGTTCATAACAATACATGGATTTCATAACACATAAGTATGCATAATATGTAATGAATAAAACACTCATCCATCCATAAATAGACCGAAAGTGTCAATACATCAAATGCATCTAAACAAAGCTCGCATAGCAGTACATCATAGAGCACTAAACCAACACAAGAGATATCAAAAGTCGTGTCCTCACCATGGTCTCGACAAGAACTACCTGGTCAATACCTTCTTTTGAGGACTACGAAATGATACTAAGACTCTAATTCGAGCTTCTTGCGGTGGAAGCATCCAAAACAAATCATTCGTGGAGCTTGAACAACACAATTAAATGATGGCTCAAGAAGAGGATGCTCCGAATGAATATTCTCGAGATCTACCAAGGAAAGACGGTGATTCTAGCCTTCAGTTGGTTCTTGATCAGTTGGCATCACTGAATGCTAAGTTTGCAAGCGCTAATTTGATTTATACTACAGATGCTCCAACACTTTCACGAGAGGATCTTGGCATGTATGCAGTCGAAGAGCGAACCGAGGATCTGAACTACATGGCCAACAACAACTACACGAACTCATACAATCCTGGTTGGAAGAATTATCCCAATCTCTCCTACAAGTCGAACAATGTTGAGAACCTCACGCCGAACAACTTCAGAGCATCGAACAACCCAAATCAGAGGATCCCTCCCGGCTTTACTTTTCAATCTAGGGGTCCTAATCAGAACTCCAACTACAGAGGTCCCGAACAATCCTACAACAACCCTGCACCTCCAGGTAACCGTGATCTCGCTCAAGATACACATGCTCTTCTTCAACAGTTTATCCAGACGCAGGAGAAGACAACTCAGGAGTTTCTCACGCAGTTCGCGAATATTGATGCTCATTTTAAGCTCGTGGATAATCAGATTGCTCAGTTAACATCAGCCATTCAAAGACCATCTAGGTCTCTTCTAGGTAACTCTGAGACCAACCCTCGTGAACATGTCAATGCTATTACCTTGAGAAGTGGTAAGCAGGTAGATTCTGGAGACCCACCGATGGTTGAGTAAGGCGATAGCTCGAGAGCCACAGTTTTAGACACTCCTGATGATACACCTGAGCCGGCTTACGTGTCCCCTCCTCCTAGGCCACCACCAGTACCATTTCCATCTCGCCTGAGGAAACACAACGAAGACAGCCAATTCACAAAGTTCGTTGAGATGCTGAAGAAACTCGAGGTAACCATGCCATTCACTGATGCTATTTTGCAGATTCCCTCATACACGAAGTATCTTAAGGACATCCTGACCAAAAAGAGGGTCGCTGAGAAAGAAACTGTGGCGCTTACTGCTGACTGCAGTGATTTGATCCAACTCGAGCTCCCGCTTAAGCGATCTGATCCAGGTAGCTTTTCAATCCCTTGTAAATTTGGTAATGTTTCCATCGATCGTGCACTCTGTGATTTAGGAGCTGGCGTCAGTCTTCTTCCATTATCGATCTTCAAGAGGCTGAATGTGGGTGAGCTGAAGTCCATTAGAATGACTCTCCAACTTACCGATCGTTCTATCAAATACCCCACTGGGATACTCGAGGATGGATCGTGCACTCTGTGATTTAGGAGCTGGCGTCAGTCTTCTTCCATTATCGATCTTCAAGAGGCTGAATGTGGGTGAGCTGAAGTCCATTAGAATGACTCTCCAACTTACCGATCGTTCTATCAAATACCCCACTGGGATACTCGAGGATGTGCCGCTGAAAGTCGGAAATTTCTATATCCCGGTTGACTTTGTGGTTCTCGACATGGACGAAGATTCTAAGGTACCTATCATCCTTGGTCGTCCATTCCTTAATACTGCAGATGTTGTTATCCATATTAGAGTAGGTAGACTGACCATGAAAATTGGAGATGAGACGGTGGAGTTCACTTTGGACAAAAATCTCAAACAACTGTCATCAACAGAATCTGCTTGCTTCATAAACACACTCGACGATTCAGCTCAAAAGTATGAATCAATCATTTCGGGCCAGGAAACCTATTGATTTGAACATGATCTCAATGCTAGAATTTTACAGAAACTCGAACAGATCGGTTCACGACCTTCAACCGATCGTTTCGAAAACAGAGTTCGAAGAAAAAAGTTACAGACACTTAAACCGATCGTGTTGCATTGTGAAACCGATCGGTTCAAGCAGCCCTTTCGAGCTTCGGAGTTACAGAACTTGGAACCGATCGGTTCTGCATGTAGGGTTTTCCTGGGATCTCATAAGCGAATCATATTCCTAAGAGATCAGTTCTACGGTTTGCGCAGCGGATGAAAAACAAAAATTTTGATAAAACCCTAAAACCTATCATGCATGATCTTGTAGAAACGATAAAACGCTTACCTCAATCGATCTGGGGCCTGTATCAATTGATATATTCGTCCGATCACTGTAGGCAGGAAGACTACCTTGTCCTCTACACGTATCCACACCTCGGGATGGATTCCAAACTTTGGAACTTGTCTGCTAGGACTCGAATCTTCTATTCGATGATGTGCTTTGAGAAAACGAGACTTAGATCACTTAATCAACCCTCTAGACTCTCCAAAAAGATCTGAAGAAGTTCTCTCTTTCGGCCCCTTAGTGTTAGGGTTATTAATCTCCTCTTATTCAAGTGATTAACCCTAATTCTGGATTAAAAAAATTAAATCCGAAACCCAGACCGAACGGACTGCTTAGTAGTCCATTCGGTCTCGACACTTGATCCGTTCGAACCAGCCACATAACTAGGTCCGTTCGGTCTGACGGGTCAGTCCGTTCGGTCCAACATTTGGTCCGTTCGGACTGGACTCTCTAGTCCGTTCGGTCCAACAATCTGGTCCGTTCGGACTAGATGCTCCGGTCCGTT